GGGCTGTGAAATCCTACGACTGCCGAATAAAAATCTCCTAAACTAGCAGACTACCACAAGGCGTTCATAACAGGATCCCTCTTGATAATCCCATGTAGCCGGGAAATCAAATCTTCAGCTCCGGATCCATGATGGCGAAGCGTGCCATCGACTATGCCGGCAAGTGGACGGTGAGAAACGTGGTTCTCACAGCAGAAAACTAACTCGTCTAGTGTCCACGGAGGGGGAATCCACTTACCCCTACTCGAAGAAGAGCGAGGCTCGATCTCTAGGGAATCATAGTCCATGCCCTCAAGAACTGTGGGAGTGTCCTCCCGAAAAGCCTGACGCCGGCCACAAGTAGAAAGATCGCGATCCCGTTGTCTAGGCATGCTATTACAAAAATAAAAATCTAAATACTTAGCATCATTTCCTAGGTTATTTAGTTATTTATTCAAAAGCGGCTTAACAAATACCTCAAGTTGAATTTTTTATTATACGCAAAATTTTTACCTAAAGGCTAAAAATTAGCAAAATGATGGAATTATTTCCAATATTTAGTTTCTCTATGACGAACTAATACTACATTTCTCCTAATTGCATGATACTATGTTCTCCATGACAATAGGGTACATACACAAAACAGAGCATGTTTCAAAATTGCACAAGAATAATAGATCAACATATCATGGCATATTTTACAAGATTTACAACCAATATATCACCATTTCAAGTGCAAAAAATAACATGAACAACAAGAACACCATTTCACACAAGTAGTATAAAAAATGGTGATTTGTTCAATTCTTCACCAAATCACACAAACTTGATCTTAAATTGTTCACAAACACACATACATTCATATATAAGTCAACTCATGGCAAGATTTTTGACATAGAAACTCAAAATATAAAATCCCCAATTTGATTTTTTTTAGGGTTTCAAGCAAATATAGAATTTCCAATAAAATTTGAGACATAAGCAAGGGAAACTTACATGGATTATTGTAAGAAATCAAAAATAAGGAAAATAGCACAAAATTGGAGCGAATTTGGTGGAAAGATGAGCTCCAAAAGCCCCAAAAACCGTTGAATCTGTGCAGTGCAACCACCGCAAACGCTGTGGCACGGTGACTTAATCCCATGGCACGGTGATGCTTCCCTTGTCACGATGATACTCCAATAGTAGCGGCAACAACGACAGCAGCAGAAGGCACCCAGAGAGCAGCGGCGACAAACAGCGGCTAAATCGAAGCACATACGACGAATAAAAATGGTTGTTCAATGAGACCTTATGCCGTGATACGGTGGTCACCTCCGCGCGCCGGTGCCAAAAATCGTGGCACGGTGACTGGAGAAACAAAAAAATAAAAAAGGGAGGAGCGAGAACAGAATAAGAACGAGGGAATGAAAATGGTGAAGAAGAAGTATCAAAAATGGGGAAGAAGCATCTAATTTTAAAAGTAAAAAATGCTCGTTAAGCGACACATTTCCTGTTCCACGAATCCCGTTTTGGTAATGCCATGTTTGCGCGTGGCACGGTTAAAATATCAAGGCGCGTGCACAATCCCAGCATAAAAAAACCCCGCGACACGGGATTCCCCACCGTTTGACGGGGTTAGACACCGTGTTGCGGAATTTGTCCACGTGGTACGGTGCTTAGCTTTTCAATGGCATTTTCAATGGCTTTTGAACGATTTTCCGCAACTTTTGAATAGTTATTTTCTTACTATAATTGTTCAGAAAATTTTAATTGGTATTTATAAGGTGCCAAATTACCAGTTTACCTCTAACAAGCATTAGAGATGCATTTTCAGCACTTTAAACACCTAACATAGTCGGATAGTCGACTTGAAGGTACATCATCCGCGGCTCGCGTTCGTGGATAATCGAACCATCATACACTTGCAAATTTCAGCGATTATATCAGCTGTCGGTTTTCCTCAAGCATGTAAAACATTATCGGTGGATTTTTCTTCAAGTGTAGAAAACCGCCAAGTCGATTTTCCTCAAGCATGGAAAACATTATCAGAGGATTTTTTTTCTTCAAGTATAGAAAACCGCCAAGTCGGCGTTCCTCAAGCATGGAAAATATTATCGGTGGATTTCTTCAAGAATAGAAAGCCGCTAAATTCATATGTCGACTTTCTACAAGCATGGAAAGTATCATCCGGTAGATTTCTTTAGGCTTAGAAAGCTACCAAACTCATCAGTCGACTTTCCTCAGGCATGGAAAGTGTTTCAGCGAAACGTCATCCGGTGAATTCCTTCAAGCATAGGAAGCTACCAAACTCATTTGTCACTGATACACTGGTGTCAGATACGTATTCTATCCCTTTACTCTTTTATCTGTGGAACTAACATTTTTCTGCAGGTATCGGCGTATACAGAGTGATTAGGATCGCCGAACGTCTTATATCATTTTCCGTCCCTATCGACTACTTTGACTATCGTTTTCGAAACTAATGTTTCTACAAACTCAGTCAAAGTGCGGGCTTCTGTAGACACCTAAAAATGTCTCCCCGAAACCAAACCCGATGATGAAAAATCTTTCACCGCCACTATTGGTCGAGTTCAGTATTTAATCCCAAGAGCGCTTAAAAAAATCGTAATTAATTAAAATCAGTTTTTTTAATAATCCATGGATCAATCTTGATGTTTAGTCAAAGCATAGTTCATTTAATTTTAGCCCAAACCTTTTTTATTTTATTTATTATTTTTGCCCAAACCTTTTATTTTATTTATTTTATTAATTTGGCCCAATTAATAAATAATAAATCAGAAATGGCCCCAAATTAACAATCGGCACTTAAAAATGCTGAACAAAATTAGGGTAAAAATGAATGTAGACGGAAAAAAGGACTACAAAATCCCGCGTCACGACAATAAGCACCGTGTTACAGGATCCAAAGTCGCGCCACGGTGGGATTCCTCTTGACACGGTGCCTATGCTGTGCCACGGGGCAACTCCGTGTCCTTTCTGTGTAAACTCGTCACACGTTTTATCACTCGTACCCTAATTATTTCCCGCGTCACACTGTTATGCACCTTGTCACGGGAGTTCGTCCCGTCTGATGGTGCCTAGCACCATGTCACGGTGTACTTTGCCGTGTCGCGGTTTTTTTTTTAGGGTTTTTATCTTAATAGGGTTCTGTGTGTTCCCTCTACTCATTTTTTTCTATAAATATCCCCTCATTTTTGATGTACGGGGCATCAATTAATTCTCTCTTTTTCTCTCTTCTATGGTCTAGCCTAAACACTAGCCTACCTTTTCTCTTTCAAAATTCCCTCTTCAAGAACTACAAGGAGTCCATACTTTACTCGTGGTTCTGTCCTTAAACCAAGGCGTCAAAGGTAGAACTGTTTGAGGTTGGCCCCAAATCAACTCTATTTAATTTAATTATTGTTTTATTATTTTTCCTAGAAGTTACTAACTCATTTATTATTTTATAGTTGCAAGCAAACAGAATCAAAGTAAGAATTATGTTCCTTTTATTTCTATTATTTTTCTAACGATTTTATATTGTTGGATTTATTGTTAAATTGCTTCCAATATTAATGTTTATTCTATTGTTATAATGATCACCATATTTTATGTTTAAGGGGAATGTGTAATTGAAAATCACTCCTAATAAGATAATTTGGACAACCGGTTTAGGTTCCTTTTTAATCTTGTTGTTAATTGAAGTGATCACTAATATTTTTGAAATATGTGTTACATTAATATTCAACCAATTTAGCTTAATAACAGTTTGGAGCGAATTGAATCTCTGTTTCTATGCCTTTGACAACGCAGGATTCACTTTTCACTATAAGAATCGAGTAGATGCCAATACGGGCAAATGTGACTCCGTGACTCACTTCATACCGTCATCCCGATCCTCTTTTTGTGGTTCCGAACCATATGGAGTTAGAAATCTCATGGATTATGAATGGGGTGTAACCTTCACAGGGTCAATCTTTGTTTCCTATCATTGTCCCTTATTCGTGGTTGCCTTTTATTATCCGTGAACGGTTTACAAGTTCTTTAAAAACTTGTTGGCGGCTCCCTACTTTATTTGTCCCTAATCGTATATGTCAATTCCCACTTCCTATGAGTGCCAAGCATATTCACCACATGCTTTTAACGTAGGCGCACTTCGAGCGACGCCTACAATATGTAATTAGTTTAATTTCTTAATTCATATGATATTGGAAAATGAAATATATATGATGATATTGCCATGAAATTATGTTTGGATAATGTGATCAATTATTGATCGTCATTTTGTAGTATATATGACCTCCAGAAGAAGACATACATCTAATTGTTATAATAATTCGAAACAAAACTATCGAATGAAATAGTGGTAAACACATGTAATATTTCCACAAGTATGAAGAAATGAAGATGGATCAATAAGTCCATGTGGAGATTTGAAGATTTGATGATTCAAGTTCAATTTGAAAGGATCAATCATCAAGAAATGGTGTTTTTATACATGGAAGAAGTTACCCAACCTTATCGCGTCAGATTTATTGCACTAGAAGATTTCACGTTAATACGTTATGTTCTATATAGGTCTAGGGTTTATATTTTTATCTAAAAAAACTCTATCTATATTGTATTTATATATACCCCCGTCATATGGATTAGAAATATACCGATCGATTCTTCCTCAATTTCTCTCTCATTCTCTTTATTTTATAACAAAAAAAAATTCACACAAAACAAGATATTCCTCGCATTAATTTTGCCAAGTTTGACATTAAGTTGTACATTTAAAAGTTAAAATGACCATAAAATTTTATAAGAACATTTTTCCGGCTCAAATTGAGATCATAGAAAGGTCCTTTTTTAAACATCACATGCCTAACAAAGGAATTTGAAATTTTATATAAACTTATAAGAGTCCCTGGCCTAGGATTTGCTTTCGTCCCTCGTCTAGGGTTGTTCCAGTTCTAGTTAGTTTTCTGGTGGTGTTTTAGGCTTTTCCGACCAATTCTCTATCGATTTTTCCCCTTCTCACCCTAGCTTGAACAATGGAATTGAATTTACTGGAGGATTTGGAGAAATTGCGGCTGACAGAGGATGAAAAAAATATCATTGGTGAAGGTGTTGCGGAAGGTATTGATGATGACACAAAGAATCAAATTTCGCTGACCTTAGTTGGCAAATTGCTAACAAGGAGACCCTTCAATGTTGAGTCAATGAAGCGTACTCTCTTAAATGTTTGGAAAATCATAAATAATGTGGCAATAAGGATGGTGGAGACAAATTTATTTGTCTTTCAATTCTTCAGTGAAGATGACAAGAGAAGGGTAATGGATGGCTGCCCTTGGTTTTTGATAAAAAAATTGCTCCTCCCGACAGAGATTGTTGGTGAAGAGAAGCCATCGGAAGTTTGTTTCAAGAACTCGCCTTTTTGGACTCGAATTAGAGATGTCCCTTTCAATAAACGATCGGCGGACTTTGCATATGAGATAGGCGAACATTTAGGAGGTTTCTTGGAGCTCGACGACTCAGATCCTCTTGGATGGAATGAGTATTTGAGGGTGAAAATACTTGTTGACATTAGTAAGCCTCTACGAAGGGGAGTTAAAATAGCTAATGGCTCACAATCCTCAAAGTGGTGCAGCATCCAATATGAAAGACTTGCTGAATTTTGCTATAATTGTGGGAGAATGGATCATATTGTCTGAAGGTTCAATGGGCACTCAAGAGGGGGGGTGAATTGAGTGTTAAGTAATCGTTAGCGATTTTTGCTTCTTTTCGGATTATGTGTAAGGAACCAGTTGTGCTGGTTCCCTTATGCAGCGGAATAAAACAAAGCAATAAAGAACACCACAGATTTAACGAGGTTCAGCCAACTCTGGCCTACGTCCTCCTATCCTAAGTCCTTTATTAATCTACTCCGAAAAATAAAGACAAAGAACACTCTACTGTTTCCCTACTCCGGGAACCAGTAAACCCCACACTCTACTCCGAATGTGCTCTAAACTTACCCTCGTAAGTTCCTAGTGTGTTTGAACTCACAAACACTCACCAAGTCTTCAACCCCTCTGTCAAAGACTTAATACAAGATCAAGAACTCTCTAATGATCTAACTCTCAAAAGTCAAATAGAGAAAAACGTTAAAACACTATTATGCTCTTGTATATCACTTAATAATTGAATTAGTGCTTTTAGCTCTCAAAAATAAAACTCTATTAAAATGCGTGAGAGTCGTGTCTGATTATTCAGAATAAGATGTGTTTTTATAGGTTAGTTAGCTAAACCCTAGTTACCTTAAATCATGCATATAAGATATATACGATTTATGGTAAGTATTTATCTTAATTGATTTGATCACAAGATAAAATCAATTTAAGATAAAATACTTCCTAGTTTTTAGCTAACCAAAAATATCATCTTATTCTTAGCTGCTTGGATATATTTTAAATCAATATTTTTCGGAAAATATCTTTTTATAAAATCTTTGTAAAAACGGCAGCTTGAATAATCTGTTCAGTTAACCTGGTTCCCTGGCCTGGTTCCCTGAACTGAATATGTTATGAAATTTGTTCCAAACCTTGTACCAAATTTCATAACGATATTTAATATACTAAAAGCACTTTATATACTCAATTATATAAGTTATACTACGGAGCATTTACATGAAGTTCCTAAATAACTCTTTGAGTGTAGTCTTCCTTCATGCATTCGTTAAGTCTTGAAAGCTTCCATGAATGAACTCAATTATTGACCAAAGGACCTTCCTTTAAGTTGATCGAAAATCCTTTCAAGCTTCCAGTCTTAGAAATCAACTTAGATACTGCACATTCAACAAAGTTAATGTACAATCCTAAATAAGTAACTGCCTTTCATAAAAGCAGTTTGAGAAAACAGTTTATACTGGTTTCCTACCAGTGCATAGCTCATTCATCATCTAACTGTTCCCTGTATAAAGATAAGTTAGTTCAACAAATATCGCATATAAGTAATAACTTATCTAGGGAAACAGTGTTCTATTTTAGCTGGTTTCCCCAACTGTATTGAACACTTTCAAAGACCTGTTTCCCTTAGCTGTTTGTCATCATTCAAAACTATCAATCAAAACCTAAAGGACTCAACAAATTCCCCCTTTTTGATGATGACAAACATTTGAAGTTTTTGCACCTGTGAACATACTCAAAAGAAAGTAGTCAAAAACTTCAAGGACTCAAGACTCAATGGAACAAGTCAGTTAAGCCAACTGGTTCCCTAAACAGAAACAGAAAATAAAATAAAGTCAAAGTAAAAGTAAAAAGACTCAAAAGCGACTCAATCTAAACTAGTAAAGACTATAGGCTTCAACTTCAACTATTTTCCCCCTTTTGGCATCATTAAAAAGATATGCAAAAGTAGCCTCTCATGCATAAAGTAACGTGCTAAGCCATCCAATGGCATCAACCATTATACAAATAAAGTGCTGCAAAAGAAGGTTAGATTAGTCAAAGTAAAGCCATGCCAACAATAAAGATCATAGTTTAATACAAACCATCAAAAGTAAACGATAGAGCCCAAATCCATATCAAAACAAATTCATGGATTGGGAGGAATAAAAACAGTCCAACAGAATCAGTTATTCAGAATATAATATAATAAAGGTAGGCTAAATGAAAAAGAAAACAGATTCAATCATCATCATCATTTTCATCATCTTCTTCCTCTTCTTCAGTGTCAGCCTCCTCAACTGCTTCATCCTGGTTCTCCTCCTCTTCATTGTCATCTTCCTGCTGGTCTGTTTGCTGGTCCTCCTCAACTTGTTCCTTCTCAATTCCAGAACTACCAGCAACCTGTTTCTCTAACTTGCTCATCCTCATAATAAACGAAGTAGATAAACTTTCCACTAAGGTCACTAACTTGCTAAGCTGATCCCCTACAACACTCATCTTCTCTTCCTGACTCTCCAGCCTCTTAAGAATAACCTTCTGACCTGCTGGTTCCTCTGCCTTCTGTTTCTTCTTGGCAGGCTTAGGAGTCTCTACTGGTTCCTCCTCCCTAAACTTCAACACCCCAGCACTTATGATCAACCCCTTTTGTTTCAGAATACCTTTGGTAAACACTATTACAGGAGCAGTTGATCCACTAAGAGAAACATTATTCTCTTTAAGAAGCTTAGTTATGTAAGAACCATAAGGAAGAGAATGGTTGGAGGAATTATAGCAATTCATCATATGGTTTATCATTAGGGAAGGGAGATTTATCTTAATCTTATTCATCAGCAAATATATAAGCACCATTTCCATGATGCGCACAAAACCCCTACCTTGTGCTCGAGGAATAATCATCTTGTTACACAGAGAATGAAGAACCAGCATCACTGGTTCCTTCAAGCTACCAGTTTTAAAAGTTCCAGCTTTCTTTGGAACTTTCCCTCCAAACACAAAGTCATGCACTTCATCTGGACTGACCCCAATAAGTGTGGGCCATCCATCTCCAGAATACTCATCAAAACCATCTCTGGGTATATTCAACAACCCAGCCAAACTTGCAACAGACACATTTACTTCAACATCATTCACAGCTGAACCTAACGACTTATCCAACATTTGTTTCAAATTTACATAAAACTTTCTAACACCATCAATATTAGCATCACAGACATCAAACAAAGCCATCCAACCTTGATATTCTAACAACTCTTTCACATCACTTAAGGCACTTTCATCAAAATAACCAACTTCTGTTTTACAACCAGATAGCACAACCCTAGAACCTAAATCAGTCATACCAACAGATGGAGATTCTACTGACATACCTCTTGTAGACTTCCGTGCTGTTCTCTTTCGTTTGGAACCAGCAGAGTCCATCGACTGTTCCTCCACTACTACTTCGCCAATGTTTTTCAGGGAAGACCTAGTCACTCTGCTGTGAACCAAGGGTTTTGAAGTCCCCTTTTTCTGCCCAATAATCTGTAGATCCGCTTCTTCACTTCTAACTTCCTCCTCTTCCCTTTCTCCAACAGTATTGAAGAATTCTTCAGCGCTTTTGGGCTGGTCCCCCTGAGATGAGGCAGTTTCTTTGATGATGGAATCATCAGCCTCAGGGGTTTTGCGTAAAGGTGCATTTTTGGGAGGTGGAGGTGAGGGAGATTTAGAAGATGGAGACTGAGTTGGTGATGGGTTCTTTGTGGTAGTAGGAGGTGAATTGCTCGATAAAGTCGGAGCAAGGTTAGTTTCAGTGATGGTGGTCTCCTTCAATTGAGTGGACTCACTTGCTTGAGTCTTCTCCTTTCCTTTCTTAGCTGAAGCCTTGGCTGATTTCCTTACCATTGTAGCAAACAAGCTTCAAAATTTAGTAGGAATTTGAGAGAGATGAAAACGGAGTGAACAGTGATTAGGGTACCACTTTTGAACGAGAGAGAGGATGAATTCAATGATGATGTGATGTGAAACTGTATCAATGTGTTAGTGTGTATTTATATTAATTGCACAACATATGAATTCCAAAAACTAGCCGGTTGAGAATCAAAATAAACGGAAAAGATAATTTCAAAAATTGAAAATTTAAAATATGGTAATTATCTTTTTACCAAAAAAAAATCAACCAACTATAAATTAGGCAATTAAATATATTTGCCTCTTTGTAGGATAAGAATAACTGAAATAAGATAATTCTTTGCAAGAAGAAATTATCTTATAGTAATCTTCCAAAAATAAAATATTTTCGGATGACATATCAGAGCTGAACTGCTGTTTCCTCTTGCTGGTACCTGTACTGAACCAGTCATTCTATTCTCAGCATGTTTCAAAATAACTTCTCCTGTTCTTATACAACAATAATCCACTTAGGTTATTTACACAATATTTGTAAGTAAGCAACATAGTTATATACACAATCAGTACAAAAGCATACCTATTCTAGCCAATCATTGAAGGAAATAATTGAAGCCAACTCCTAAAATCTAACTAGACCTAAAAGGACTCTTAACCTACAAAAGGACTCTCTACATAAAGGCTTTGTGAAGATATCAGCTATTTGATCTTCACTTTTACAAAACAACATCTCCACCAATCCTTTTTCCACATTGTCTCTTAGAAAATGGTGTCTTATCTCAATGTGTTTGGTCTTGGAGTGTTGCACGGGGTTCTTTGAAATATTGATTGCACTAGTGTTATCACAAAAAATAGGAACACTTTTATAAATAACACCAAAATCTTTCAGCTGGTTCCTTATCCACAGTAGCTGGGAACAGCATGAAGCTGCAGCTATATATTCTGACTCTGCTGTGGATAGGGCCACTGAATTTTGCTTTTTAGAACCCCATGATATAAGACAAGAGCCAAGGAAGTGTGCCATACCTGATGTGCTCTTTCTATCAACTAGGAAACCAGCATAATCTGCATCTGTATATCCAATGAGATCAATGGTACTGCCTTTGGGGTACCACAAAAATAGATCTGCTGTTCCCACAAGATACCTAAGTATCCTTCTAACAGCCTTCAAGTGAGATTCCTTTGGATTGCTTTGAAACCTAGCACACAAACCAACAGAAAACACAATGTCAGGTCTACTAGCTGTTAGGTAAAGTAGAGAACCAATCATTCCTCTATAAAGCGTAGCTTCAACATTTTTTCCCTTAAGATCAGCATCCAACTTTGTGGATGTGGGAACAGGTGTATCATAAGCTTTGTTGTTCTCCATGCCAAACTTTTTCAGCAGCTCTTTTAAGTACTTT